CCATGTGACAACTACTGCCCGAATTCCCGATTCACTCCCCCACACTTAAACTTTGGCATCGCCCTCGATGACCAAAAATGCACTATGCACAAGGGGGTAAAAGGGAAAGGGCCACACGTGCTCAATTTCAACTCAAGTCATTATGAAAAACACAAGCAAACAGAATGATCATGAAAACTTCCCTAAGGGTTTTGATCGGTGCAGAATCAGAGCTGAGTCAAACTGTGAACCTTGGCGCGTCATCCAAACGAAAAACCCTGAGCTGCAAAACAAACACAAAAACACAAAAACACAAAACAAAACAAAAAAAACAAAAAACATGCATAAAACAAAAGTGAAAAAATAAGCTTGGGTTGCCTCCCAAGAAGTGCTATTTTTAACGTCGTTTGTCTGATGATACCTCGTAAGCTCTCAAATAGCACAGACTGTAGTGGTGCATTAGTAATCAACGTTTCCAGCTTCCTTTCAACAAATGTCATTAAGTGGTACAGACCTTGAAATTCTTGAGTACACGTAGGCATCACATGGTCTTCATATCCCTCATCAGCACAGAAGTGAAGTATGAAACTCTCATCCTCTTCGGGTGGACAATGAACATGAGTGAAAACTTTGATTACTCTAGGTATCACCGGAAGGTCAAAAGTTGTTTCAAAGCAAGGAGTAGGAGCAACACCGTAATCAAACTACACCATAGAAAAGTCTTCTTTTTCCTCACAAATGTCATGAAAATTCACAACCTCTCCTCTGGACTCTGTATCACTCCCCTTGAAGTCATCCCAACTCTCCTTAACATCGTTCTTATCAATATCTTCCTGGATGATGTTGTCATTCTCCATATAAAAAGAAATATCATCATCAAGGAGTGAATCAAAGAAGTCCATATCTGAAACCATGTAAGAGTGGACTGGTGCATGTGTATAAGAGGGGTAATCTTGCTGATGGAGGGGGGGGGCTTCTTTATTATGGATATCATATACCTCGCCCCCACTCTCTTGGAACGTGTGATCATCATTTCCCAACCCATCTTCAATACCCAAACCTACCTCAGTAGCACCATCATCATGACTGATCTTCTCGTTGTCCTCCTCAGGTGTTGAGACTAATGGTAAATCAAACAGCTAGGGGGTTTCTGTATGAAGATCACAGTGATCTGTGACTTCATCAGTTATAGCTTGTACCGTTTCAAACTTTTTCCTGTATTCTTCGAAAAACAACCTGACACTATTATCTTCTTCTTCATCTTCAAACATAGGTGGGTCTTCAAATGCATCAGGAAGTGTATCATCCATCATACTCCCACCTTCGCAGTCTCACTCAATGCCATGATCATCCCTATTGGTCTTCTTAGGTTGGGCTTCTATGTCACTAGGATGGGATCTCTCGGACTCGTTAGATAAAGCCTTTGCAATCTGCCTCAATTGATTCTCCATGTTCTGCATCCTTGAGTCTACTCTATGTTGAATTTGCACTAATTGTTTGAGTGATTCTTCCAAGCTAGAAAGTCTCTTTAAATCTGCCTCCTCTTGTTGATTATGAGGCTCATTACTCGTGAAGTATGTAGGAGTGGCTAAAACATTTGTGTCTATAAGTTGTGGGGAGGACGAAGTGGGGTATGCAGTTGCCCAGTAAGGATGGTGATATGGAGGTTTAACGGGGCAAAACGATATATGATGACATCCTCCACAGAAAGAACAAATATTATTCTTAGGCAGACAAGGTTGCGTGGTTGGAGGGTATGAATAAGAGAACTGATTATTTTGTGGTGTGGAAGAGTAATTTTGATGAGGTGTATAATATTGAGGAGGAGGAGGAATGTAAGGAGAGTATGGCGTATATGGTGAATATTCCATGGAGGTTTGAGGGTAAGGAATTCCTCCGTAAATCGAGCTGAATGAGTTCATCTCATCCTCTTAAGAACAAGTACCTGAAAGGTTAGCACAGAAAAATCATACGAAGAACTAAAAACTAACTAAAAAAATTCACTGAAATTAATTAAGCCTCAAAACTGACACGGTCCCCGGCAACGGTGCCAAAAACTGATGTGAGTTTTCTCGCACTTAAAATAGATCGTAATATAGAGGTGTAAGTACGAGTATCGTCTCCACAGGGACGGACAAAAGGGAATCAAGAATTAATTAAATTCAGCGATTAAAAATAAATAAAATAAATGTGTCGTGCGAGATTGATTGATTGGGAAAATTAAATTGCGAATAAAGAAATTAAACTAATGGGTTCTTTCTTAATTAATGACGAAGGGAACGGGGATTGATTCCGGGGTAATCAGATTTTTGGCAGATCAGGCTTAATCGCATGAAATTAATTTAATTGAGTCTAGCTAATCATTACTAAGTTCATACCGCTCTCGCAGCGTAGAGTACAATAATTTAGGGGTCCAGACTGATCTCTCATGCGACAGGATCCTAAATTATTGCCAAGACGAGCGAGCTTACGACCCCTTAATCGCTACTAATCTCTTAGCGAACGATTAAGTGTGTGTGAATGTGTCTTAGAATAAACTAGATCTCTCTTAATTTATTCTACAAGCAATTGTAATTCTAGCGGCCGTTCTAGGTTACAAGTGATATCGCTTAAATTATTCAAACACAAATTAAATGACATTCATGCAATCAATTCATCAAGAATCTAGCCATACATCATACTTAACCCCTTCATCAATCTCAAATCCCTAATTAAAACTACTCACAACTCATAATTGAAGAATCAATAGAATTGTGAAGAATATAAATAATTGTCATTAATTAAAAAGATGGAACTTACAAAGAATCCCAAAAAAATGATGAACAAGGCTTTAAATCTCTCTAAATTTCGTGCTAGGCATTCTCTCTAAGCTCCCCCCAAAACAGGGGTTTACAGACTGTTTAAATAGGAAAAATGGAGCAATTCGGGTTGAATTAGGACTGAAATGGAGCACGCACACCGCTCACGCACGCGTGCGTGGCGTCCGTGCTTCCGGCAGACTTGCGCGTAAAATTGTTGTATGCACGCGTGCGTCCCTCCCCACGCACGCGTGCGTGGCTGCCAGTGAGGTTTCCGGCTTCTCTAGGCCGATTTTGATAAACCTTCCCTCATAAAAGTTGTAGATAATGAAGTCCTCTATGCACCACAATTTGGCGAATTGGATTTGAATCATCCAATCAAGAGATATGAATAAAATGGTGGAAGGTCTCATTTTGAAATCGCAACAGGGATCATCTGACTTCATCGACTGTTTTCACCTTCTTCCTCTCAGATTCACGGAATGGTAGATTCTAAAGATTTGTAGCCCTGGAAGTTGGCTTTCAGATGAAACTTGAATCGTGTTCTTTGTATACTTTTACAAAGATATATGCTTGAACGATTGACAGAAGGTCATTCTGAACACCGTTTTCAAGCTCTGTTTGTCTTCTTTTGATCCCGTAGCCAATCCTAGAGCTCTTTTTTCATCAAATCTTCATCGTGTACATCCCGGTGACCTCCAAATCTCTCAACTCACTCTCGAATGCTTCTCGCATCATCCCGTTTTCTCTTCAAGCGCCAGTGCCGGACTCTAAATTCCTGATTTTGACTCCGAATGACACAAAACTCGAATCAACGCTTGGTAACATAACTTGAGCTAAAATTGAGACTTGTAACATGTTAAAGCTAGGAAAACCATCACAAATCGATCCCAACACGTATCAAATGTGTGTGTAAATACGGACTTATCAAGCCATATACTATGGATGATCCTCTTCAAGATAATGAGACATACGATGTTTTCAAGAAGACATTATTGGAGTTTTCATTGAAATCAGTGGAACATGAGATTAACATACAAGATGTGTAATTGGTATATGTAATTTCAAACGAAATATATATTAGAATAAGTGCACTACGATATTTTATTAAGTGCACATATTTAATAAAATGTTTTTTGTGTGCAGTTTTTCTTCCCAATTCTTGAACCAGACCACTGTTACGTTGAATGCTTCAGTATGAGAAATCAGCTGGTTGAGATATTGGACAACTCATCACTCGAAATTGAGTTTGAGTTGAAATATAGTGAGATGCCATTAACACTAGTAAGTGTGAAAAAGTTTATGGTTACATAGTTACAATTATATTAACATTCGTATATGTGATAATGCTTGTTTTTAATGTTGTCAATAGGGACTGGATTTTTTGATTGAAAGAGGGATGAATCAAGATGGACAGGCCCTTCCGTACACCATCCATCAAACGCTTGGAAATGAATTGGAGGGAACCAAGAAATGAGCATGACTACGGAGTATGGAGCATGCGTCACATGGAGACATATATGGGACAAGGGACAAAGGGTTGGGACTGTGGAGTAAAAAGGGGAGATGTAAAGCAACTCAGTTCATTACGAATGAGGTATTGTGCAGCACTTGCAACAGCAGAAGTGAATGAGGTGAAGGAAAAAAACCAGAGTGAAGCTAGGGAGTTTGGAAAGCATCAAAGGGGAAAAAGTGATTGATGTGGAAATGTGTTTTGACAATTTAAATATGTTTTGATTACTCTTGGAGACATTGTTTTGGATTTTCCCTTGACAAATTTGCTAGCATTTTGGATTTGGTTCTGTGTTTAATGCCTTAATGACATTTAGATATATGGAATTATAATTGTTCTTACACGTAATGTGCACTTGGTATTTAATATGACACCTGAAATTGCATTATAATATTCTATGTACTTTGAAAAATAATACAACTAGAAATAAGCTACATACAATAGTCGAATATGCACTATGCAATATTAGAATATGCACTTTTAGACGTTTTAGTAAAATAAATAGCGGATACAAAGATTGGCATTCATGGAAAAAACACTGTGTGGTATGGTGAATACGATAAACTGAGTAGTTATGTAATAAATTAAAAATTGGATATAACAGTGACGTGCAAGTAGACAAACTATCATTTACACAAAGTATGTCATTAAATAAACAGTAATGAAGTATAAAACATCTTCATATACAAGTTTGTTAAAAAAAGATTCTTGTGCAATACAAAGACAACATTTGTGTAAAATAACAAATCTGTAAAAATTGAAAAATCAACACATTATAGCTTCAATTCTCTTATTTGTCATCATTTAGAGGACAATTCCTACTATCATGAAATGCAAACTCATTACAAGTACGGCATAATCTCTTAGCCTTCTTTGCAACTTCAATAGTTTTCTCTTTGCCGCCTTTTATTCTTTTGCCACAGCCTTTGTTCCTAGCAATCTCAGATGGCTGGACATTAACCTCAGTCGGTATAAAAGAACCATAATATGAGCTGATGATGTCATTCTTTGAACTACTAGATGCACCGGACGACTCTGAGGAAATAAATTTTTGCTTCTTGAACAAATCTGGTTGATGCTCAATAAAACTTTTAGGATCGTATCCGTCTCCGGCTCAGGTCTCCAACCACTCTAGACTAAACTCACACACACCCTCTAGGGCTAGGCCACAACATCTCCCATGTTTACTCACTCTTCTTCACTCCACAAAGGAACTCTCACACAAGGAAAGGAAGAAGGAAGACACTGCACTCTGGAAGAGGAATTCACGCAGGCTTAACTCAAAGGGGCAAACAAAGGACTACAAATAGGCTGCCAAGGGAAGTCACGGGTGAGGCTAATCAACAGGTAGTCACGGGCTGCCAGACAGGAGGTGCAGCGGACAACAACAAAAAAAGGGGGGCTCACATATTGTAAGTCAACGGGCACCAATGAGTGATTTCAACTAAGGGAATCAAAGTGGGAGTAAACATGGGGTGCAAGCCTTAATAATAAAGTGGAAGGGAGGCCTTGGTAGGACCAATACCTCCAACATTCTCCACCTTATTGGTCCTAGGTGGTGTAGAGTAGCAAAACAGGTTGTGAGGAGACTCATCATTGCCGGGTCACCCGGAATATCAACAGATAAAACGGGCAAACACTTTATTACGCAACCCACAGTTATCCACAGTCAAAGTTTAACACGCGTTTACAGGACAAGTGCTTCTCAGCAGAAAGACACTCGGTACCCATATCTGCAGGGTTAAACTCTGACGGGATCTTGCACAGCTTGACTCCACCTGCATCAACAATATCACGTATGAAATGGAACCTAACATCAATATGCTTAGTTCTATCATGAAATACAGGATTTTTGCAAAGTTGGATAGCCGATTGGCTATCCGAGAAAATGCTAACTCCCTTTTTTAGAAACCCAATTTCGAAGACAAGGCGTTTGAGCCAGATGGCTTCCTTAAACGCTTATGTGGCTGCAACATACTCGGACTCAGTGGTAGAAAGGGCCACAATAGGCTGTAGTTGGGGTGAGGGGGGAGGGTTGGGGGTTAATTAGGAAAATCCCAAAAAAAAAGAACCGAGGCCCGGCCTGGCCCGGGGTTACCCGGGCCGGTTCCGGGCCTCCCCTTTCATGAACCGAGGCCCGAACCGGGCCCGAACCGGAACCGGTCCACCCCTAATATAGCTCCACACTCTACGTCGCTCTCTCTCGCACAAAAAACTCGTATAATAAACTAGAAATTAAGTCATAAAAAGGTCTTTTGGACTACTAAGAGTATAAAATCATATGTAGTATTATACGATAGTATATGATAATGATATAATAATATTAATAATAATAGTAATAAATATTGTGTTTTTAGGGTATATTACTATCTCGATCGATATCACTTATATAGTAGTTATGTATTAATGTGTATAATTTTATTGAAGAATCACAACTAATAACTTTATGTATTATTATGTATATATGTATATTAGTTTCTATTTTATTTAAAGTGTTATAACTAATCACTTTATGTATTAGTGTCTGTGTATACAAATAAGAAATTTTAAACGGGTTCGGGTCCTTAACGGGTCAGAATCATATGTACCATACCCGATCCGTTTATTTAAATTACTAACGGGTCCGGATCGGGGTCCAGGTAAACGGAATAAAATATAGACCCGTATCCATTAAAAACAATCGGATCCGGGTCGGATCTGGGTCTAGACTCGACCCATTGACAGGCCTAAACACGGCAAGAGAAACAAGCAACAGATATCTCCCTTTGAACTTCATAAAAAACGGATAGATTGTATATTGAAGAAGAAAATCTCTCAATACTTAACGGAGTATTATAAACAGGAGTACATGACTCGGAAATAGAGTTCAGTTGCGCATTGATGTGTCTTTGTGAATCCATAGCACTTTCGAATTGCATAAAAAATTCAACTAAAATAAAATGCGGATTGGTGAACTCGTTGAAAAAGTTGTTCTTACTTTCCGATCTTGATGTAGTCCTAAGCATTCCTGCCATGAATAGATCACGGAAAAACGCAGGGATCCAAAATCTACAAATATCAAACATGTGAGAGAACCATTTGTGACCTTATAAATCGTATTCTTCCATTACTTCGGTCCATTTGCTTTCAAATTCATCAACTTGAAGATAGTGACTCCATACAACACTATTAATTTTTCGAAAAATTGATTGTAATAAACCCAACTATTGGCGGTCCGCTTGTAATAATCCCAACTATCGATTATCTCAGAATAATCCCAAATTTAGCGACTTTCCGCCAATAATGGTCCGACATGACCGGCTATAAATAAATTCCTATAGTTTCTAAAGTGAATGAGAAGAGATATAACAAGTAATCCCTACAAATAATTCAACTTTTAATTTTTATGCTTTATTTCAATTTCAAATTCACTTTTTATAGCAGGTCATATCTGGTCATGGACCATTATTGACGGAAGGTCACTAAAGTTGGGATTATTCTGAGATAATCAATAGTTGGGATTATTATAAGCGGACTGCCAATAGTTGGGATTATTACAATCAATTTTTCCTTAATTTTTTTCATGATATCATTGTCCGTGCTAAGAGTCGGACCAACCTTGGAAGTGACCTTGGACATGATGTGCCACATACAATATCGATGACGAGCTGTTTTGAAAATCTATTCAAAAGAAACACAGTAAGAGGAGCTGGAATGAATTCCAAGTGTTTCAGTTCGATCACAAACTAAAGTGCATTAGTTTGAGTAAAAAGTGTAATGTGCAAGTACTATTGGATTAGTGTTAAAAAATGCATGAGCAAAGGGAAGGCATGTAGGACACTAATATGATATAAAATTGCACTAAAGTTAGGTAGACGTGCAATCATAACATACAATTGTGCATTTTTTAAAGAAAGAATACAATGCTAGTAAATATTATTAAGATAATGATACAAAAGTGAACTAAATTATGAAAAAAGTGTAATCATCCACACAAAAGTGAACAATTTTTAAAACCTGTTCAAAAGCAACCCGCATGGCAGGATCTTGGTCAGTTATAATGCACGTGGGCTCCTTGGTCATTGCACTAATAAAAGAACGAAACACCCAAATATAAGATTCAACATCTTCCTTCAACAAAAGGCCGGCCCCGAAAGTTATGCACTTCTTGTGGTTTTCTACACCAGTGAAAGGGACAAAATACCATATTGTACCTTGTAAAAGAATACACAAGTAAAAAACAATCAAAAAGTAATGTTTGTGCATCATTTAATCATTTAGGTAGATAACAGTATGAGGCTTCACAATATAAAATAGATAGGAAACTAACAACAACATTTAAGGATAGAAAATAATGACGTAAGATATACCTATTAGTCTCGAAAGTAGCATCGAATGAGACAACATCTCCGAACAGAGCATAATCCTTTCTACAAATAGGGTCAGCCTAAAAATTCGAGTTAATTGATCACTACCATCCACATCATAGTTAAAGAAAAACTCAGAACATGTCTCCCGCTTTCTAAAGAGCTTATCAATTAACATTTGAGCATCAACCCCTGCAACATATGCCTTCAAATCAAGTTTAAAGTTCTTAAAATCAACCGATGTTGCACCAATATTCGAATAGCCACCAACTATTTCTTTATACAAACGATAGCACTTCATGGTACCAATATTTGCTTTTGAGCAGTTCAAAACAAAATTTTGATGGCCAATGTCAAGAGCTCGGTTAACCTTTAGAAATGGGCTAGATGGGATAGACGTCATGGGATGGTTATGTCGCTCTTCGAATAGGGTAACTATATACCTATCAACACCATGTAACCTCATAACTAAACGTGCTTTGCAACCAACCCTATTTGATACACGACGCCTCTTTATGGAATCAATAGCCTTAGGGTCCGATCTTTTGAGCTCTTCATTGGAAACAGAAGTTTTCACACAGTTAGAGGAGCTGGAGTCAATTTCAAGTGTTTCTGTTTGATCACCAACAACAGTGTTTGATTCACAAATGATAGCTTTTGGTTGATTTTTGAATACCTCACAAAACATACTTCCACACACATACACTGTCACGACCTTTCTTAGAAGTGCTAATACAAATATCAAAACCACAAAGAACTGCATATTTTTTGTAAAATCGAATCCCATCTGCAGTACCTTTAAATAGCATACCAACACAGGGCTTACAACTGTCAATGCAATCTGGAATCCAATACTTGGTCAAGTTTGGAGAAACTTCCAATTTATATGAATGACATGAGTTCGACGTAGAACCGGAATAACTGAATTCGTAATAATCATCTACAAGTATAAATGTATGAAGGATCAATGAGCAGTAAGTTGATCATTAAAGACAAATATGGGTAAGTCCTGATTCAAATGAAGAGTAAATTAAAACTAACATAAAGCTAAAAAGAAATACATGACCAAAACGTAAGAACACTATAAACAGAAAACAAACAACAAATATAGAGACAAATATCGATAAAAGTAGATACAACATGTATAACACGCATGAATTAAAAATGATAATGCAATGATGGATAAACCAGGAGTAAACTAAAATCAACATAAAGCTCAACAATCATAATAGTTGAACCAACTGATAAAAATAAATGTATGATCAATTATGAGTTAAAATAGAAGACACACAACAAATACAAGACTATTACATCTGAGCGAGATAATAAATAAATAAAATTTAATTATCTGTGAAAATATAAATTAAGAAAGTAAGAATTCAGAGAGCCTTACTGTGATCCATACTGAAACAGCGATCAGGGAAAGCAAAGGTGTTGTTCGACTAGAAGCGTAGTACTAAAAATCGAAAAGTAGTGATGATGGAGGGCAGCAGAAAGAGAAGAGTGACGAGGAGAAGAACGACGAAGAGAAGAGGTTAAGATCGAGGTGGAAACGATTATGGAAACCATGAACAAAATAACGAACACGGTAAATATTGGACTCCAAAAGATGGCAGAGGTTCTGATTTTTGGAGGAAAGTGATATCCAATGACTATGTTACCCTTATACGAAAAATTAGATTATAAGAAGTAATTGTTAAGTTCAATGGCCATGATTAGTTCTCATTTCTTTCATTAGATGGTGTTCTTATATGAACTCTTCTTGGGGAGGGTTCAGGTGAGAATGATCTCCCAAGAGAGAAAAGAGAATGAAATCCTACCATCAAATATGTAAAACCAACTATCAAGATTGACTGATTGAGCATAAATGGTGGCGGTGCTTTTGTAATTAAGTATAACTTTTTTGGGCAATAGTAATCACACGACTAATCGTATTAATGATAAGGACTATTTAGTAAAATACATACTAATCAAGTAACGGCCGTTTCCACAAAATAAGTGGTGTTTAAATGCTATCTTTTAATTCATATGACAAGTGTCCGTATAAATGGAAACGTATAGATCCTAGAGTTTGGATTCTTGAATTACTTTCTATTAAATTAAAGTTGCTTTATTTATGTTTACGTAGTCATAAACTAAATTCACCATATTATCACTATAAGAGTTAGCTAATTAGTTTAAAGGATGTTTTGGAAATATAGTGCACTTTATTTACTAGATGAAAATTATATAAATAATCATGCACTTCATTTATAACCTAATATTAAATTTTCACTTTCGAAAACATGGATTTATAACATTAATAACTAATTTAATTATTTGAATTCCCGTTTCAAAAAATAAATACAATTAAAATTTTCTTTAGATTTGTTAGTTGCGTAGGTGCACTTGTACTTGAATCTATTTTCACTTTGATATGCTAAACATTGCACCCGTTTTATATAAAAGATCATGAGTGTGTTTTTTATGTACTCCAACGCTGAATCAATACACTCTTATTCGAAATTTTATGCAAATATTCATTTAAACATTCACACACATTTTTTAAAGGTGCATTTATTGTAATTTGTTAACAGTTATTCACAGAAATTGAAAGGAATTGATGAAGAAGAAAACGAATTGGGAATTTCAGAATGAGCTTGTGCGGAAGATTGTTTAACAGAATAAGATTTCATACCTAATTTAGAATTAGTCTATTCTATATATACTAAGTAAAGATAAAGCAAATAAGGCCCAATAGATAAAGGCCCAATTACAAATAGAAAAGATTCAAAGTCAGCAAAACAGTCTTGTTACGCCCCCTCAAGATGAGCATGTATGTCCAACATGTTCATCTTGACTGCAAATTGATTGAACAATGGATTCCCAAGAGGCTTCGTGTAAATATCTGCAAGTTGAAAATTATTTTTAATATGAATCAAACGAATTAATCCAGCATCTATTTTTTCTCTTATCAAGTGACAATCTAGTTCAATATGTTTTGTTCTTTGGTGTTGAACAGGATTGTAAGCAAGATGATAGGTAGATTTATTATTAGTGTATATTGTTATAGGTAAATTAGACTGAATATGTAAATCAGTAAGGATATAATACAACCACTGAGCTTCACAAACTGCACTGGCAGCTGCTCTGTATTCAGCTTCAGTGGAAGACCTACTAATAACCTGTTGTTTTTTAGATTTCCAGGAAATTAAGGAATTTCCAAGGTAAAAAGCATATCCAGAAACACTCCTTCTAGTATCAACACAGGCTGCCCAGTCTGAGTCTGTGTAGCCTTGTATAGAAAAATCAGAAATAGATGAATAAGAAAGACCTTTACCTGGAGAGTTTTTGAGGTATCTAAGGATTCTGTGAGCAGCACTCATATGAATATCAGTTGAAGAGGCAAGAAACTGACTAAGTACTTGAACACTATAAGCAATATCAGGTCTTGTTACAGTTAGATAAAGAAGTTTCCCAATTAAAGTTCTATATGTTTTAGGATTGTCTAAAACAGTACCCTCATTTTTGGAAAACTTGATTTTACAATCCATTGGAGTAGTGCAAGGTTTACAATTTTGATAACCATATTCATGTAAAATATCAAGAGTGTATTTTCTTTGACACAAATTAATGCCTTTATCAGTTCTAGCAATTCTATTCCTAGAATATATTTTAATTCTCCAAGATCCTTAATAGTAAATTGATTATCCAGAAAAGCTTTAACTGCATTAATCTCTTCCATTTGATTTCCAGCAAGAATGAGATCATCTACATACACTAAAAGAACAGTGAATGAAGATTTAGTGATTTTAGTAAATAATGAAAAATCAGCTTGAGATTGTTTATATCCAAACAGTTTAAATGAATCAGAAAGCTTACAAAACCATTGTCTAGAGGCTTGTTTAAGACCATATAGGCTTTTGACAAGCTTGCAAACTCTGGTGTCATTGGGAGACAAATAACCTGGAGGTGGCTGCATATAGATATCTTCATTTAGATCACCATGTAAAAAAGCATTATTTACATCAAGTTGATGCAGAAACCACTTCTTAGCACTAGCAATAGCCAAAATAATTCTAACAGTTGTTAGTTTAACAACAGGAGAAAAGGTGTCAAAATAATCAAAACCTTCTTCTTGAGTATATCCTTTAGCAACTAATCTAGCTTTATATCTATCTAAAGAACCATCAGATTTTAATTTTGTTTTGAAAACCCATTTACATCCAATAATATTCTGATTAGAGGGTGGATTAACCAAGAGCCAAGTATTATTTTTCTCAAGAGCTTGAAGTTCAGTAGTCATGGCAGTTTGCCATTCTGGAAGTTTAGCAGCTTGTTTAAAAGTTTTGGGTTCAGTGATATGAGACAAAGAAGCAGCAAAACAAGAATGAGAGTCACTTAGCCTGTTATAGGTAATATAATTTTGAATGGGATACCTCACAAAATTACAAGAAGATGAAGAAGGATTAGAGATACCTGCAGTTATTGAATTGGGTAATTCATAACTGTAGTCTTGTAAATGAATAGGTAGAGACCTTACCCTTGTTGATTTCCTTGGTGAATGATCATCTGAAATATTAGAGTTCTGTACTACACTAGCATTATTATTTTGAGTAGAATTATGCATATTCATTAAATTGATTTCATCATTCATCTGATTTTGTAAGTAAGAGTTGTCAGAATCATTAGAAATATTATTATTAAAAGTTGTTTTGTAATCATAAAAGTAATCATTATTGGAAGAATGTAAGGAATCAGAATCAGATTGACTAATTTCAGAGTTAGGAGAATTAGAAGAATCAGAATGTTTTTTATATGAAAAAATCATTTCATAAAATCTGACATTTCTTGAGATAAAAAATTTATGATTAGCAATATCATATAGTTTGTGTCCCTTAGATCCTAAAGGATACCCAACAAAAACACATTTGACAGCTCTAGTATCAAAGTTTGATCTATTTGCATTAAGTGTAGAAGCATAAGCAAGAGAACCAAAAACTCTTAAATGAGAATAATCAGGAGCCTTACCATATAAAAGTTCATACGGAGATTTGTTATTTAAAACAGAGGTAGGGATTCTATTTATAATATAAACAGCAGTAAGAATACAATCAGACCAGAACATAAGAGGTAAACAAGATTGAAATAAAAGAGCTCTAACAATTTGAGGAATATGTTGATGTTTTCTTTCAACTCTAGCATTTTGTTGGGGAGTTTCAACACAAGATAGTTGATGAATAATGCCATTAGTAGAATAAAAGGATGGAAAAATGAACTCAGTCCCATTATCAGTTCTAATAGTTTTAATTTTAGTATTAAAATGAGTATGAATTAGGTTATAAAAATTCATAATATGAAATTTAACTTCAGTTTTGTTTTTCATCACAAAAACCCAGGTACATCTAGTATGATCATCAACTATAGTTAAGAAATATTTAAAACCAGAGTAGGATTGCACTCTAAAAGGACCCCAAACATCCATATGAACAAGTTCAAAAGGGCTGGAAGCATAAGAATCACTATCAGAAAAAGGTAATTTCTTTTGTTTTGCAAAATCACAAATGTCACAAGCAGTATCTTTATTCATATGATGAGAAACAGTACAATCAACAACAGAATTCAGTTTATTAAAAGGAAGATGACCTAATCTATAATGCCAAATATTAGATATAGAATCTGAATATTGACTAGTAGCATGATTTACAAGAGAAGATTTATTATCCATATAAGAATCAGTAGAGTTGTAGAGATATAAGCCATTTTTGAGATTAGCATAACCAATCATTGTGTTGGTGATATGATCCTGCAAAGTAGCATGATTAGAAGAAAAATGAACAGATATATTTTCATGTAATGCCAAGCTAGAAATAGAGATAAGATTGAAATTAAACTGTGGAACAAAAAGAACATTATGAAGAGTAAGATTCTTATTAATTTTAACAATTCCTATTTTGGTAGCAGTAATAAAAGATCTAGTTGGTAATTGAACTTTAATAGAAACAGGTTTGGGTGTAGAAGTAAATAAAGTAAAATCATGAATCATGTGATCAGAAGCCCCATTATCAAGAAACCAAACAACAGATTTGATAGTAGAAAGAAAAACAGAATGATTACCTAAGAAGGTAGAATCACTGGGAAGAGATTGATCATTGTCATGTGCAGCCATAGCAGTATGAGCAGAAGCTTTGTCATTCTAGCTTTTCATAAAATCTAAAAACTTGTTGTAAAGAGAAGGATCACAGAGTTCCATGGCATTAGAAGAGTCAACAGAAGTATTAGCAAGATGAGCATGAGTGTGTTTGTTGGAATTTGGTTGTTGTTGAAATCCAGGAGCAATTCTTTGTCCTTTAGGTCCTTTCCAATTAGGTGGATATCCAATAATTTGAAAACATTTTTCAGCAGAGTGTCCTTGATAACCACAGTGGTTGCAGGTGACAGAAGACTTCTTCTTATAGTTATTGTTTTTAGCAAGAAAAGCAGTGGAATCATTGACAGAATTATCAAAGTTTTTAGAAGAATCAGGAATGAAGGTAACAAAATTGGTAGGATATTGAAGTAATCTTTG